CACACACACACACACGCACACTAGCAAATCAAAAGCAGGCAAGAACTACAAGTCTCCATGCTGCCTTGCAGAGCTGTGCTGTGGTGATAGAAAATCAGAACGTTCCCCCTTAGAAATATCCTTAAAGCTCCTTCTTCACTTTTTCATACCAGACTCTGCCTCTAAAGCACATATACACTTGACAAATGTTTAACTAATCTGGCTTCATTAGGAATGTACAGAAAATTAAGTGAAATCAGAGTACATACAACTTCATTTCTGGTGTGAAGGCACCCCATTCAGATGACACAATCTTCGGTTTACTGTCAAACTCTGAAGGAGCATACTATTTCTTCCTCTTTCTCTTCCCTGATTACGATTACTGAGTCACTACAGAGCCGAGTTAAGCATATGTATTGTATGAGATTAGAGTGGAGAAGGGGGTGGCGGCAGTGGCAAGGGAGCCACATTCAAGAAATATCTTCCACTTGGTCAGATGACGGAAGATTGTAGGACTGGCTACACAATCACACACAAACAGAGTCAAGTGTGTGAATGTCAAAATGCTAATTTCTCTGTTTAATTTTTTTCTATGACAAAGGGACAACACAAATTTACTCCTGGACACATTCATCTCACACACACACACACAGACATCCTCTAAATCCCCATTAGGGTTTACTGAAGTTTATTTAATCTCATTGGAGGACTTGAGCAGTGCCAGTCTAATCCTAGCATTAGCGCTAGGCATCTGGAGGATGGAGACTCCTGCTTTTCTCTTCACCCTGCTGTTTTACCTTATGTGATGGTATGTCGGTGGTGATGTGGTCAACGTCAACCTCCTCCATCTCCCCCATCTTCAGACGGCTCACCACCACTGTTCCTGCTGTGCACACACCATCAGATGACCTAGAGGGAGACAGGAAAAGAGTTACATAGCGTTAGCCTCGTCATTTAATCTGTTGGAAAAAAGTTTGTTCTGTTAAATGATCTTTTCCTCTGACTACTAGCCCTCCATGGAACTGAAAAATATACATCTCCATGTTGCGCCCCCCCACCAACTCTCCAAAACTAATACGCTTATTTCCAGCCTTGAACAGGTTGTGAAATCATAAAGCTGTTTGACTAAAAAGTGGAATCAGGACATAGACGCTTGGACTGCGGCGATTCCTTTTTCTGACAGATTTTGCAGCAGAGTGTGCATGCAGAATAAAGCCGAGCCTGCTCCAGTGGGAGGATGGTGGGGTTGAAGGAAGGAACATTTCGTATAACTGTTCAAATGACTGTCTAATAACCTAGGCTATGTGCCCTGACAGACACAAAATTGATACTAGAGTTTTTATATCAGGGAGCCCGACCAATCACTTTCCCAATCATGGGGCCATGATTAAGGAGCTGATAGAAAATCTATAGTATTGGCAGCAAGACAGACGCTCTCAAATGAAGAAAAATGGTCCCTGGGCATCGCACAAGCAAGATGATCACCTTAACAGACCCATCCCTAATGTGCTCAGTTCCACTCCAGCTGGAGAAAATATTGGATGCTGTGTGCCAGCCAATGGTCTGGGGAGACAGGGGGGAAGGATGACACACCCCTGACTGAGTAGGAGAAAACGCAAGGATAGTGATGGAAGCAGAAAGGATGCTTTCAAGGCCAATCCATCTTGGTCAGACTTGAGGGAAAAAATCTAATCGCACCTAAGGGAAAAGAGGAAAGGGGAGAAGAAATGCAAAGTAGAGGCAGGGGGGAATGTGAGGGACTACAGGAGAAGAGGATTGGGATACCAAGGAGGAGGATGGAGGGAAAAGTGTCTCTGCAGTGGGACATTGGGAGCATCAGTTAGTGCTTAATGTCTTGCAGCAGTCCCCAAGCAGAGAAAATAACATTGGTTGGTTTATAAATCTAATCATTGTCCCTTGCCAGACACCTGTCTCAGTGTTTACTCCTCTGCTCATCTTTCTGTTTCCCCCCATTCCTCATCATCTCTCTCTCTCCCTCTTTTCTCTGTGCAACACAGAGGACTAAAGCACGGTAAAAGAAAGTCACCCTGACTTTGAACAAACGGTATGTACCGACAGTGGCCCGCACATAATCGAGGAAATGGAGATTAACATGCATCACAATCAATGATAGTCCTCCGTAGGCAAACCTTAGGGGTTACAGTGCCCCTCTACTCTTTAGATTACTCTGCCTCAATCCACTAATGAATCTCTTCATTTAAACAGACAGAGGAGACTTTGTTAGAATTGCTTTAAGATAATTGGTTTATTCCCTTTAGAGATATATTGTGATTTTTTTGATTTGCGGCCAAATGTACCATAAACTCAGCACCTGTTCAAATACAATCTTTATACATTATTGTCTGTGAGGAAAAGAAGTCTTCAGCAGCTCATTGTAGTGATTTGATTTTGTTCCATCGCCACATTGCTGGTTTGCTGTGCAAATTCTCCTAAAACCAAGCAAAGAAAAGGGCAGAGATGTCAACTGTCTGACAGAACGTCTGGTTTGCGGTAACACAAACTTTTATTTTGCAAACTACAGTATTTTAGCATGCACACTAACTGACCTCGAATTAACTTTCAAGGCTCTGATGAGAGCTGTGCATGAAAAAGAAGCCGATCTCCCTCTCCCACATCCCTTCCTCCTCCACCACCCCTCTCTTTCCGTCTGTTAGAGCTGGCATGGAAACAAATCTGCAGATTGTTCTTTGCCTGGGAGCCCATCCTTTTTTAAATCTAATTGGCCCAGGATCTCTTTTATGACAACACTTAATCAGACTGCTTTGTTAAAGTGACAAAAATAATGTGCTTAAAATGTCTGCTATGAATTTGGCACAATTCAAAAAATAATTTGTTATCAGGGAAGTGCCTTACATTTAACAGTTATTTTCTTTTGAAAGCTATTCTTTGCAATTTACAAACTCATTTTCCAATGTAGGAACATACAGCGTAATTTGTTTCAAATAACTGATCCGTACCCTGCCGTTCTAACAGGCTTGTGATATATGAGCCATACAGTTTAAGTACGTATACATGGTATCATAGAGCAACTGCTCAAATGAGAGTCTATAAATTATCTGTATTAAGCAAAAGTCTGCTGCATGGAAAATACATTTACTTCTTCTGAATAATAACAGGAAAAAGCACATTCTCTCTTAATATAAAAATGTATAGAAAATTCTGTATATTATCTACTAGGGATCCCCAAAATAAATGTTTATGATTAAACTGGAACTTTTCCTACTTCCTACAAAGGCTCAATGAATTAGTAGTCTTCACTGCAGATGCTGCTGTATTATGCCTTCTTAGCTGTGTGACCAATTTTATTGAAAATACACAAGCTAGAAAATTCAATTTGCCAAATAAAAATTGTCTACACTGTCTATTTTAAACCATGACAACAGGCAAATTAAGTGAAGTGACACTCACTCAGTTTGTCTCTACAACAATGACTTTAAATGTCTTTATAACTTTCTGTCACATTGCAGTTTCAGGTCCAAAGGAACCTGCCAACTGTTACAATGAGGATGAGTGTATTCAATTAAATGAGGAACAAATATCCACCCAGACAAGACCCCAGATGAAAATGTCTGCTAACTGTGGCAGATTATGGTGAATTAAACATCTTTAAGACAAATGAGTCATACCTAAAACGGTTTGAGTAAACATATCCAGTAGAAACCTGAGCACTATAGTTTGTTTGCGGTTTTCTACTAAATAGCAATTATCATTATTAGTATTTTCCCATATTACTGTAAACACTACCATTGCTACTGTTATTATATGCGTGTTTGGTGGTTAGATGGCAGACACAAACGGTGAAGGTCACTATTTGTGATGTTTTGTTTGGTGAAATGAGCGGTTATACTGTGGTGTACAGCACAGCAGTGGTCTGTGCAAAATGTGATGATACAGTAGGTAATGATCAGGAGTGGTTCTGTCTTTGTCTGTAAATAAAACCAGATACTTGTTTTTGCTTAACTTGTTTTTCTCTGAACAGAGTGGAAGTGGTAAAGGTAGTAAAGATATACATATTGATGATGGTTATGTACAGACCTTGGGAAGTTAAGGACAGTCAAATGGCAAAGGCAAAAAACTCTAAGAATGAAAGTGCCCAAGCAAATGTTCTCTTTTTGCTGCCTTGTGAACCTAAAGAATTAAAGAGTGACGCCAAGGAAAGGACAATTGTACAACATTTTCAAAGGTCTGAATTTAACAGCCTGTGGGTGGGGAAAGTTGATCAAAAAACTTCAAAGCAGCAATACTTCTGTGGCTGTCAGGCGCTTTTCTCTGTGGGAAGCCTCACAGAGGAAAACACCTGATAGCCACAGAAATGAAGCAAAACACAACTGGCTTTTCCCCTCACTTCAACTGTAGGACACTAAAAATACACAGCAGGGCCTGGAAAAACTATTTTCCTTTTTGCTCTAGATTTTGCCCACAGGAGATTTGGTTTAGGAGTCCTTCAGGTCTTATCAACACTGTGTGCTGCCTGTCGAATGGGAGTGGTCAGAGAAAACTAACTAATCCTGCCAGGACAGGCAACAAGAATGCTACAGCCTTGAAGTGTAGCAGTGGAAGTGTAGATGGGATTCTTGACCTATATAAAGCTGGACGGGTGGGCTAAATATAGCGCTGGCTAGTTTTCACTGAGGACAGATGTTAGGACACGGGACTCTAATAATGGGGAATGCCAAGCTTAAGAAGTGATACAGAGAGTCTTGATTTTCATTGGGGATGAATGGCATTATCATGTGACTCAGCAGCAATTGCACATTTTGAGACTAGAAGACTGACTCAATCAATAAGACTACACTGCGGGCATTGTTCATAGAGCTGGCCCGAATCACCAGGGGACACTAAACTGAGCACACACTCTCCGGCTTGTCTGGACCACTTGAAGTATATTCCCAAAGAAAAAAACTGCCCTGGTTTCCTCTTGATGAAAGAGACTTTCACTATGTTTATAGCTATATATTACATTCAGTTTGAATCTGAAATTAATGCAAAATAAATACACAATGTCTCTTGTATTACAGTTTCGTAAAAAATCTGTTTGGTACTGAAACAGTAGTCGATTTTAGTGGCAGTGCTTGAAAGGTTGAGCATGTCTCCAATTTTCAATCAAAACAAGCTGATTTATCCAGAACACACCACTGGGATCAATCTCTATAACATGCAAATTTATGCAATTTATAAAAATCAGTTTGTCTGCTGCAATACATCTGTAATAAGCAGAATAGGATCTATGTCAGGGCAAGATGCATGGTTGCACAAATTGTGAGTTTCAACGCATCCTATTTGTTCCAGTTCCATCACACAAACTACTGTATTTTTGCATGACGAGAACTGTCGCCACACTACATTTACTTTTATGTTAGAGCTTAACCAGTGTCAGAAAGTCTAGGGATAAGCTGTTTTCACAGAAGATGCAAGGTGGAAAAAACGAAGCAGAAAAGATATTTCTTTAAGCAATCACATCAATCCAGGCTGGGCCTCAAAACCACCTGCTGGATGATTGTCATGTGCAAATTCTATATATTCTATATATATATATATATATACCCTGGAAAGTCAGTATGTTTCCAATACGATAATGAATTATAATGTAAATCAGGAGTCTCAAACTCAAATTGCCTTGGAGCCACTGATGGTAATGTCATCTCATAGGAGGGCCACTTCAGTGTTCAAGTACTACAAAAAAGTGCAATATTCTGACAATATTTTTATCGCTTACATCATACTGGAAAAACTGGAAACAGTAGTTTCTATAAATTTTTATATCATCATTTTATATCATCTTTGTTGTTTGTAGCCAAAATATAAATAAACCTTCTTATCAATCTTTAAGCGAAATGGCCATGGCATGTGGAGTGGCATTTTGAGACCTCTGGTGTAAATGGTATGTT